CATTTCATAAAGAAAAAAAATAGATATGCGTCTATATCAAAGCAGGTCCCAAAATTTTGAATGTTGCTTGTATGGAAATATTCTCCTGACATAACAAAAGGTATTCTCTTCAAAACACATTGAGACCTATTTGGCAGTACAAATATTTCTCCATCTGTACAAATATACTTCTCCATCTGCTTCTGTATGTCCTGTTGTTTGACACTATTTTGCATTTCAGTAAACACATACAAGTGAACTTTCAACTACACAGCGTTCTTCCCCTTAAGCTTATATGTTGTGCCTGGTTACACATTTAATATAAAAAATTCAGATAGAATCAGAGAACGGATCCATCATTTTTAATAGGGCAGAAAGATCTAGATAACAGGCCTGACAGACTTCGTTTTAAGATTGTTACACTATATATGTCTCAGTTATTTCTCAGTGGGTAGATCTGAAGCCTAAATTCTATTTTTCCAGAAAAAAAATTGAAAACCTTTTTTCCTTGGCTTCATTCAGCTTGTTTGTTTGATGAATTTACCTATAGCTCGCAATTAAATCTTAGGTTGTGCTCTCTAGGCAGGACATAAGATACCTATCTTCCTTTCCACAAAAAGTATTTTACCACAATACTTAAGAATTTTTTCTTATGTATTGTAAGAAGTACACTGACAGAGCAAGTGTCAGTCAATAGTACACATGGAAAGAATGTTCTTCATAGAAGAGAGAAGAACTATAAATTTAGAGTGACATATTTTTAATAGTTAAATTGCACTATTACTATAGGGTTAAATGGCTTAAATATCTCTAGAAAGAGTTTGTGCACAACAGTACTTTCTCCCAGAAAAGTAGGCCTTAACTATACTGTATAGATATGAGTTTAAACAGCAATGAACTTCTGCCATGCTGCTATCACTATTTTTTTTCCAAGTATTTTTCAACTACTGCCCTAACCCAGGTTCATTAAAATCCTGTTTTTATTTTTTAATGAAACAATGATCACTTCCTTCCAAAACAAGCTACTTCTTTTCCAAACTGTACTTATTAATAGTTAGATTTTTTTCAAATACGAACTAGCAAAACAGTATGTGCAATGGTTTTCTTTAAATTATGTATTCTAAAACGGGGGTCCCCAACCTGTGGGCCGTAGCCCACTACTATTGGCCACCGGGCCGCATGAGTAGCTGGCTGGTGCATGCGCATGTGTGCATGAGAACAGCTCCACTTGCGCGAGTGTCACAGACACTTGTGGCCCCACTCACGTGAGCAACGGGTGTTTGCGCATGTACATATCTTCAAAAGAAAAAACAAGAAAGTCAAGTTGCCTCCTGAAAAAGCACCTTTGGGACAACCATGACCTGGATGGTTGAGAGTCTCTACAGATTAGAAGAGCTAAAGTTTTTCTTTTTTTATTTTTTAAGGAAAGTTTAGGTGAAAACTGAAAGTTATCGTTAATCTACACTCGAGAGACTTGCAAAGGATTGTGGAGTTGTGCAAGTCCACTAGAACTTGCAGAATCCACTAGAGAACCTCTGACAAAATGCCACCCAGGTTCAGTTAAACAGATTATTATTCAGGTCTCTAAAGAAAAAGAACTCACCTTTTCTTGTGGCAACTTCTTCCAATGGTTGACAGCTAACACACTTTCTCCTGATGTTTCTTCTGTACCTATTTTCTTGTGGTAGTGGAACAATAGATAATAAGACTATTCTGTTTTCTCTGTGATAGCTTTTCAGATATTTGAAGACTTGTCACATTCTTCCTCAGTTGTATTTTCAGTATACTAAGCATGCCAAGTCCCTTTAATCGATAAGTGTGGTTTCCAGACCATTCATCATCTTCGTAATTCACCTTTGTATTTCCTTCAACTTTTCAGGGTCCCTTTGAATTTTGGTGGCCAGAACTGGACATGATTCTTCAAATGGGTTCTGACCCAAGGCAAACAATTACTTTCCATGACCTGGACACTGTGCTTCTGTTAATGCACTCCAAGAAAGCATTTGTCTTTTTGTGCAGTTGAGCCATACTACTGGCTCATGTTTGACTTGTGGCCAATAAGTACACCTAAATAATACAACCAAGGTCTCCCAATTCCTATACTTGTGCCTTATAGTTTCCCCATTGTGATGCAGAACTTTATATTTCTGTGTGGTAAATTCCATCCTATTCATTTTGGTTACTGCTATATCATCTCTCATCTAAAGTTAGCCATCTTTCCCAATTATGTCATTTGCAGATTTTATAGGTGTCTACTCAATTCCGTCTTTTTTTGTAATTGTTGTATTGTTACATTTCTTTGTGGGTGTTGATGTAAGTTATTGTTATCGTTGTGATTGTTTTGATGGATTTTAAACTGTCCATGGGTATTTCAACTTTCAGCCTGTAGGCTACCAATAGTAATTTGATTTATATATAAATAGATAAAATGAGCATAAAAATTCACAGAGCATTTATAATCTCTGCCCTGCTTGCTAATATCACATCCAGAATTTTTAATATCTTCACACCTGGTGTGGATTAAGGACATAGCAGTGTGGTTTAAAGCAGTGCAATTTTGCCAAGTACCTCTTTTTTGTGCATTTCAGGAATGATTGACTGCAGAGTTCATCCACTAAAGCACATCTCCAAACTTACTCACACTTTGGGGAGGCTTGTGAGCTTTAAAAGACTCGTAGCTCTGTGTGTGTTCTCATTCCTGGATAAAGCATTCCAGTCTGAAACAAAAATCTAAGCAAAATATAACTTTGTACTATGCTTCATAATAGCTGATGAAAATCCTAATGTGGTTGGTTCTATGTTCTCAAATAAGGGTTGGTGTTTGTTTGTTTGTTTGCTTGCTTGCTTGCTTTATATCGGACTTTTTAAGTTTTATATTTAAAACTCTATAATCCTAATTGAAGGACCCATTAAAGTTTTAGAGATGCATATAGATCAGACCTACTTCCTGTTTAATGTCCAAGACATTAGTAAAAGACAGTTATGCCTACTTAAACAAAATCTGTATCATAGGTTCTTACGAATTGTATAAATTATGGTTTCCAGCTATGTTATTCCTTCCTTTTTGCAGGAAAATCCACAAAGACTCTTGTAGCACCTTAGCCACAAGATGTCTTGCGACCTATACTAGCCATCACACAATTTCCTTTTGGTGTTAACATCATCATGCAAAGTGTAAAAAAAAGTCAGAAGCAAAAGCAAATACGATCTGCTTCCAAATAACTTGGTTCCTCAATATACTAATAATATCGAAGACAATTCATGTGGAACTAGCAGATTTTATATACAAATTGTATATTGTAAATTTGTACAATATACAAATTTGGTATAAAAATGGTTTGTCGTGAATGCAACTGCTTGAGGGCTCCTGGATTGGAACTGAAAGGTGAAAGGGAAGCAGTATGCTCCGTCCCATATTGGGGTAAACCAGGTGCTTCGACAGAAAAACACTTAATATATATTGTTAAAATATACAACGTGCAGTAAAAATGAACTGGTAACTGAGAATAAAAAATACAAAATATTTTTGGCCCAGAATTTTTTTGGCCCAGAAACTTGTGAATGAGATTTCACAGAACCAGGGCTGTAGAACAACTTAGTTTACGTAGGTAAAACCTGGCTAGAAAGAATATGCACATAAAAGCCTACGAAAAAGGGGGGGGGAAAAGACAAATATATATATATATATATATATATATATATACTAGTTTATTTAATATATATGTTTATTTAATATATATGTTTATTTAATATATATAATAATAAAGGTATGTTATGTGATTTACTGCTGTTTTCTTCCCCCCTTGTTCTATAAAATATAGTAGAAACATGAGTTACTTAAACCATGAAATCTATACAAATTAAATGTATTTTTATACTCACTGCCAGTAGCTAAAATAAATGTTTCTTCTACCTAATTCATTTGTGGGGCATTTTGAAATAAAAAAAAATGCTGATAGTATCTTTGGTTAATACAGATTGTCAAGTTCAAGTGTTCAAAAAACCCAGTGCACAGATAAATGTACAGAACTGGCCCATGCTTATAATATCATAATTCTTCTTCTATGAATATACTTGCTCAACATTTTAATATTTCAATTATTATTGTTTAAATTACACTATCAAAACAGTACAATTGTGTACTGAAGTGATCTCCTTTTGCCGCAATCTCGATGTACATTTTTAAAAAGTAAAAACATGAGCATTCACATTTGAGTACAACCACATTCTCTATAGCACAGGTGTCAAACTCATGGCGTCATGTTGCTGTCATAGGATGTTTCGTAACTTTTTTCCCATTCGTGGAGCTGGGGTGGGCGTGGCCTGTGCGTGACACATCTGACCTCCAGGCCGCCAGTTTGACACCTCTGTTCTATAGAATCAACAGTTGAGTGTTGAAAAAAAACAGGGTCCAACAGATCAGTATTCTTTTAAATTTCTTCCAAGGAGCTTTAGACTGGTGTAGTTAAATTCCCCAAAGTACAAAGAAACCTATCCATCGTCCCTACCCCAGTTGCCTATATTGGCCAGTATTATTGGAGCAGATTCTGAGGTAGGGCAGATTATCTGTCACTCCACCCTCTCCCATCTACCCATTCTTAGAATTCCTCTCGTTACATTTTTAAAACTGAAAGACTAATTGCATTTTTTTTCTTTCATTTCTATAATTCCCATTTTTTCAACACACAGTAATTAATTAATGCCGCAGTAGTATTCTGTTGCCAAAAATAAATAGAAAAACCTGAACTCTCCCAAATTATCTGGTTTGCCATTTCAGATATTTACTGATTTGTTTCTTTAAACAATCAGGAAATCTCCAGACATTATTGGGTTTTTTCAATAAACAGTCTTTGCATTTATTGTATCTTCCGAACAATTCTGGCAATACAGTATACTCATGAGATCTAAACAACTAGAGCATGTATTTTTGGCATGTAAAAGTGTCTTGTCAAAATATGTGAGTTCTATATTCCCTAGTTTATACAATGTTTATGTGTTGACTTTTTTCTCTTTTCTTTCAGGAACAAATGTGTCAGCTACCGCTGATTTAATACCTACGTCACATTGGAACATGACAAATGAAGTAGATAAAGGTAAATAATAAAAAAGAAAATAAATGCCATTTCAGATTTTAAACACTGTAAGTTTTCCTTTTTTTATTTTTATTTTTTTGCAAAGTGATACACAAATCTGCTAGTAAAGTTAGAGGCAAAAGAGAAAGCCAAAACCAAGTTATCATCTGATGTTTGGTCTGTTATTTCTGAAGTGAGGATTTCCCTTTTTACTACGAATAACCCATTCCATATGTTTGGGATTTTTTTTTAAGCCAGGATGTGAATTATAGCAGTTTATGACCCACCTGACATTTCATCTTTTGGCTCTTGGAATCTGGATCCAATAGGAACATGCTTTAATCTGAATTGCTTTGCATGCAGATTTTAGTACGAAATTTGGAATGAAGCCGTTATGGCCTGGGATAAAGAATGCAAAATATTTTGGGATTTGTGAAACCACTCATAAAGAACATTGAACGCACTTCAACACCAGTTACTCTACAGTCACATTCTGTAAGATATTTTTCATGGATGAATATATATCTATTTCTTTTAAATATTGCTATCTAGCATGTCTTTCTATGGGCTTCAAGATTCCGGAATTTTACGTTGTCAATCTATAATGAACAGTTATAACTCATTGATGAGACAGCACTGATAAGAGCTAGATAAAATGACAGGCATTCTGAAGCTATATTTTTCTCAGGATACCCATCAAAATCCTTTTGCCACAGTTTTCCTGTGAAATCTCATCATTGACAGCTTAGGACACTAAGGAACCAACCTCAGCAGTCGGTAGGACAAAGTGAAGAAGCAATGTAGGTAGTAATTCCAGGTTACAATACACCTGACCCTTTCATGCATTCCTCAGTTCTGGCATAAATCACCTCAGATTATCTAGTCAGTCACATTGTTTTCTCAGTGGATGAAAAGAGAGGCATGTGTCCAAATTAGACAGAGTTGCTAGGGATATGTTTTAGTGTCTTGCTGCCTCAGGAGATTGTCTGCTCAGGTTAGTGCACATTAGTGCAGGAGAAGATAACACAAAAGCAAAGCAACAGAATTATTCAATGTGGTTCATCAATCTTTATCCATTCATATCTTCTTAAGTCATAAGCCAATGGTGCTTCAATGAATGTATTTGCCACTGGTTGGGATAGGATGTAAGACTACCCTTCCTTATGAGGATTATTCCACAATGCTCAGTTACCATTGAAATCTTACAGAACTATATAAATCCCTGAGGTGATGCAGATCCTTCTGCCTGCCTCCATTTTATTATGGTCAATCCATGCTGGAATCCTAATGTCCAGAGCTTATGGGTCATAAAGCTAAATGAATTATTTGCGGTCCCTTTCTGGTTCTCAATTCTCACTTGCAATTACTTATACTACTGTAGTCTCTTTTCATTTACCGGTATGTGCATTTATAGTTTATACATATACAGAAATAATCATCCTTACAGTTTTAAAGTCCTTGTCAAATTGTTGCTGACTTAGAATGAAAAGAGTAGCAAGGTTTACCCCAGATGGAGATATAAGAACAGCTGGTAGTCAATTAGCCTTCATCTATTGAGGTTAGAGTTCATTGGAAGATGCCGGGAAGCTAGATTTTTGGAGAAAGTTGAAGTTTTAAATGCAAAGTACATGTCAAGATTCTTCTCTTTCCTGTTGGCAGAATTAGCAACATTTTATTAACTCATAAATCTATGTTGTTTGCAGAGGTTTTTTTTCCAGGCTATGAGTGATTCCATTTGTTTTTTTCCTCTGAATCCCTTTCCAAGTATAGACTTCCTAAATAGCAATCCAACTTTCAGGCGATTGTAAGACACCCTTAAAAATTTGAGAGTAATATATTGCAAGAACAGGACCAGTCTGTTTCATCTCTTTATATTATAGTTTATGTTCTCCATATCCCTAGAGATCCTTTTTCCTTTCTCTTCAGCATCATTGTTTCTGGCACAGACTATAAAGGTTCAAAGAGAAATAATACACAGTAACTGACCTTACCCACAAATGAAAAATGGTAACCACCTAAATATAGTACAGAAAAGGGAACAATTTAGTTTCATGGCATTATTACAATTGGTACAAATCATCATTTCCCAAAATTTCAGTATTTAATTTCAATTAAAAATCCATTACAATTAGTCCTCAACTTATGACACAATTGAGCCCAACATTTCTGTTGCTAAGTGAGACATTTGTTAAGTGAGTTTTGCCTCATTTTACGACCTTTCTTGTCACAATTGTTATAAGTGAATCACCACAGTTGTTAAGTTAATAGCACGGTTGTTAAGTAAATCTAGCTTCCCCATTGACTTTGCTGATCAGAAGGTCGCAAATGGGGATAAAATGACCCTGGGACACTGCAACCGTCATAAATATGAGCCAGTTGTAAAGCATCTGAATTTTGATCACCTGATTATGGGAATGCTGCAATGGTCATAAGTGTGAAAAACGCTCATAAGTCACTTTTTTCACTAAACGAACTGTTGTAAGTCGAGGCCTATCTGTACTAGGCCAATGTCGTAGGTCTGTCTGTCTGTCTAAAATCTCTACATGGAAAATACTGTTACATTCTCAGTCACAACTGATCTAATATTCCAGTTGGAAAGACATCACTGACTGGCCTGAAATTATAGTTTTGAGAGGATTCCTTGTCAATTTCGTAGATTTATTTCAGTCATATGAAATGTTTCCCTCTTTTAGAGATGGAAGATCTTGGTCATTCTCTCAGGAGCAACCAAAGCAATGCCAATATCAATAACTGGTAGCAATAGTTCTCATTTTTCCTTTTATTTATTTTGCATTAGCCTTCTCACTTATTTTTTTACTTCTATGATTTCTGTAAATCCTGTTGTAGGGGATTATTGCATTGAAGTTATAAAATTTAGCCCAAGGCAATGCTTCTCAACCATAGCAATTTTAAGATGAGTGATCTTCAGCATGCTGGTGGCGGAATTCTGGGAGTTGAAGTCCACATATCTCAAAGTTGAGAAATACTGGCCTTGGGATAGTGATTGTCAGAAAATCTTGCCAATGCTCTTGAATCTTACAACCTACTGCGCAGGCATTCATTTTGGAGATTTGGGCACCCACGCCCGCACACTTTGGGCACTCGGTCCAGAAAAGATGTGCTTCAGCACATCTTTTCAGATGTAACCCAGCACATCTGAAGAATGCCAGATAACCTAATAAAGCAAGTTCTAGTATATTTGTTTACTAGGGATAGTCTGTAAATTAGGAGGCTGTTAAGGGACTAGCATTTTTTGAAAAATCTATTTGGGATCCCATGAGTAGCTGAGAAACTAAACTACTGTGATTTTGTTTGAAAATTTTTTTAGTTACAGGACATTAGTTCTTTTTGTTTGCTTTTCAGCTGATAGTATATGTGCTTTTCTTTGAGAATTTATATTTTTTCAACGGTGGATTCCTGAGTAATATAGGTGTGAAATGTGAAGGTCATAGAACAAAAGTCACTAAAGTCACCAGGCTGCTAAAGTGTTTCAGAAAATGTGCAATTTATTTTGGATTTTGCTTGATTCCTCCTACCACCTTTGTTTAAACTCCAGTGAGGATAATGAATGTCTGACCATTATACACAAGGTAACGATATATAATAACCTTTTCATGGCTCATCCAGTTTTCTGGCTGTAGTTGAAAGATTAATTGATCAGTAGGCCAAGGGACACATTTTATTGTACATTTCTGTTCCAGATAACCTGACATTTCTGGTTTAAAAAATAGACCTTTAAAAGGCAAAGAAGGGGCTAATAAGAAGCAGAACATAACGTGATTGACTAACTGCATATCTTTGACTTCACAACATTTATCTTTTGCTACGGAATTTTTTGTACATGACTGTTTATATTATATGCTTATTTCAGTGATATCAAAATCCATGTTTTCATTCACTGGCTTACAAAATGATACGGGTTTTTTTGTTTATTTCTTCCAAATATTTGTTTGTAGTACCGTATTTTCCAGCGTATAAGACGACTGGGCGTATAAGACGACCCCCGAATTTTCCAGTTAAAATATAGGGTTTGGGCTATACTCGCCGTATAAGACTACCCCTCTTCCAACGCACACCAAATAAAAATTAAAAAACATCAACTGGCTCACCCACAATGTAAAAGCAGCTGTGCTAGACCAAACTGGCCCCTGCAACAAGCAGGAACCTCACACAGTCACAAAAAGCCCAAAAAAAACAACTTTACACACACTTTACACACACACAACACAATACAACACTTTACAACAACACTTTACACACACACAACACAACACAACACAACTGGCAGGAACCTCACACAGCCACAAAAAGCCCAAAAACCCAACTTTCACACTTTACACACACAAAATTCCACATACGGCTTTGTGAGATTTTGTGTGTTTGTGTAGTTAGAGTGAAACACTACAAAAACACACTAAATCTCAGAAAGCTGCACAAATATTATTTTATTTTATTTTATTTTTATTTTTATATGAAAGCTAAATTTAAAATTTCCTAAACTTTAATGGCTAGGTCTAAAAAAGAACAACTAAAAAAAACCCCAATTAACTATTTTTTTTAAAGATCCCAAAGGGGAAAAAAACTTACCCAATAGAACAGGGGTCTCCAACCTTGGCAACTTTAAGACTTGTAGACTTCAACTCCCAGAATTCCTCAGCCAGCTTTGTTTTGCTGGCTGAGGAATTCTGGGAGTTGAAGTCCACAACTCCCTGCCTGCTTCATTGCAGGCAGGGAGTTGCTTGCTGATGGAATGGATTCAGGCAAGCGAAGCAAGGCAAGCGTTGCGACTAGCAGCTAAGGTAAGCAAGCTGGAGGGGGAAAACTTCTTTCCTTCTCCATGGCTCTGGCGATCCCAGCTGAGTTGCCTGATTAGCAGATCGTCAGAGCTTGGATCACCAGAGCCATGTGAAAGAAAAAAAGTTTTTTTCTTTTACATAGCTCTGGCGATCCCAGCTGAGTTGCCTGATTAGCAGATAGTCAGAGCTTGGATCGCCAGAGCCATTTAAGGCTCATCAGAGCCT